GACCCCCCCCCCCCCCGGCATATACACACACACACACCCTGTCCCAGCTGACTCATACCTGGATCAGTGTTGACAACAGTTTTGCTCTGAATGAGCTTGGAAGGGGAGAAGCCGATCTCCACCAGCCAGGGCCTGAGGTCCACGTAAGCATCTGCGAGTCGCTGGAGCACGAGGAGGAGGAACTCGGACACCTCCTCGCCCTTGCTCTGTACCAGGTCCAGAATCTTGCGCACCTGGTGGCGGCACAAGCATGAGGGCATGAGCGTGGCCCTAGGGTTGGGCACCCATCGGAAATGCCCACAGCTCTTACTACAGCCTGGGGCTTGACCATCCAGCCAGCCAGAGGAGATGTTATGCGTCGAAGGCCTAGAATCTGTGGACTGGGCCACCTTAGCTGGAAATAAAGCCACGCAGCTCTACAAAACCAGGAGGCTCCCGTGGGAATTAAGGTTAGACTCACAGCTAGAGCTGTGCCCACCTCTGCAATGTGCTCTGTGTCTCGTTTTCTCTCTTAAACTAACACCACTGCTCTCTAGGAATGCATCTCAGGGGAGAAAGTCACCCCTTCAGCATATGAGGTAGGCACCGGGCCACTCCGCAAGGGGACAGTAGACTCCTATGTAAGTTATACCGTTAGAAAGGCTTTTTATATTATTAAAAACTAGAGGCCTGGTGCATGAAAATTCATGCACTGGAGGGGGGGTCCCTCAGCCCAGCCTGCCCCCTCTCACAGTCCAGGAGCCCTCAGGGGCGGGAGGCAACCCAGCGATCAGGGGAAGGCGATGCCCCCATCACACCTCTGCTGCTGCCACTGCCGGCAGCGCAAGCCTTGGCCGGCCCTGGTCACCTGCGCCTTGGGCAGCCCTGGGTGGCTGAGGGGCTGAGGGGACCGGGGGACTCTGGAGGCAGGCATGCAGAGTGGCTGAGGGAACTGGGCACCACCATCTTGTGGCTGTGGGCGCTGCCATCTTTGAGGGTGTGGCAGTCAATTAGCATATTCCCTCCTTATTGGCTGATCTCTGCGACAGCATGAGGGTAAATTAGCATATTCCCTCTTCATTAGATAGGATGAAGGGGGTAAATTACAACAGTGAGCTACTGTGCTTTCCCATAAACCTTCAGGTCTCTTCTGAGTCCAGCAGGCTCGCGTGGCAAACAGGTCTGTCACTCCTCTAAGCAGGGAGGAGTGTGGGGTCTTGCCAGTTTTATTTTTCAGATGACACAAGGCTGGAGTGAAACGAAGGGCTGTTCAGACTTCCCACAGTGGAGTGGGGAGGATTCTTTACTGTGGACCCGGCTTCGAATGCAGTCATTCCCAGACCAGAGGGCCATGCTGAGTCTCAGCAGCTCGCAGCTCGCCGCGTTTAAAGGCCCTGATCAGGGTTGGGGAACGTCCGCCCACAGGCTGTATGAGGCCCACGGAATCATTTGGTCTGGCCCTGCCCAGGCAGTAGGGGCGAGTTAATTAAATGTTTGACCAAATAGAGCAGGCTGATTTTTAAGTTGATAAGTCTGTATTATCAGCCAGAAAATGATGATATATCTAAGTGGCCCCTGGCAGAAATAGGTTCCCCGCCCTGCAACGTCCAGCTGGTGCTCTATGCTTGTTTTCTTTCTCCCTTCTACTCACTTACAGTGAAGTTAAGGAAGGGCTGGTGGGGGGCCAATGCGCACGGCCAGGAGAGGGATGGGACTGCACTTGACATGAACACAGAGTTGTGTTCTTGTTACAACACGTAGTTGTGTAACAAGCCCATCAGGCAAGGCCTTATGTTCTAGAAATGGCTGCGATGGGAAATTCTGCCCAACGTACTTGGCATCCTGCTAAGGCCACCCCTCCCCACCCCCCATCCCCGGCACCTTGTCGGGCTGCGTGGGGCAGGCGCCCACGATCTCCGCGTCTTCGGCCGAGAAGTACTCATTCTCCAGCAGGTTGTCCACCAGACACTGCGTGCTGCGGATGTGAGTGACCAGCAGTTCACGGTTGGTTTTCAACACCTTAATGTGGGAGTGAAGAGGCTCCGACGGGGCTGTGTCCATCTCACCGCGGCCCCGCTTCTCCATGGTTAAAGCAGCAAGTGGCTCCGGGTCCCAGGTTCATCCTGGCTGCACGTGTCTTCCCGGCGGAGGACAATCGGGACCCAGGGCCCCTGCCTCTCAGTGCGGCCCCTGAAGAGATGAACGCAATCACCAAGAAGGCCTGGGCCAAACGGTCCCTCCCTCTCTTCTGGTCCCGGACTATGTCTACCCAGAGCAGGCGGGAGTCATGCTCACACAGTGACCTGAGGCCACGGAAGAAAAAATCCTCACTGAAATGCGTCTACTGGGGGTGCCATTGCTAAGGTGGGTGATCAGAGGTAAACAGACCTTTTTGTTGGCTTGTCTTAAATAATTATTTTTATTTTAAAGTGTGCCTCAATCCTAGACGAGAATAGAGATGAAAAAGTATATTATTTTCCATAAAAAGGTGAACTGGGACTGGGAGCCTCTTCAATACCATAAACAGTCGGTTCACACATATTTTGTATGTTACATGTATTACATACCGTGTTCTTACAAAGTAAGTGAGAGAAAAGAAAATACTGTTAAGAAAATCATAAGGAAGAGAAAATACCCTTACAGTATTTACTGAAAAAAAATCTGCCTATAAGTGGACCGGCGCAGCTCAAGCCCATGTTGTTCAAGGGCCCTTGGTACCTGTGTTTTCTGTACCTTTCCCATCATCGCGTGTTTCTTGGAACCACCGAGACCCTCTTCTGCGCTGCAGAAGCTGGTTTCTGACAGATGCTCTGCTCACCTGGTTTTCAGTTTATCAGGAAGAGTGAGACCCACCCACCAGCCCTTGCTCTGTGAAAGCCCCGCACCTGGGAAATCCCATGCGCCAAACGAAGGATCAAATGATGCTCAATGGTAGCACCTTCCTTGGCCAGGCCCTGCCTGCCTGAGCCACCAAGGCAAACCTGAGAGCCTTCGCCAGCTGCCAATCACACGACAAGATGCTGTCACCAAGGGGACCGAGGCAGGCGGGCCTGGGTGCTGGGGAGCCTCCAGGAGGTGGCAGGCCCTGCCACCCTCTCCTGAGGGCTGTGTTGCTAGGGGACCCCAGCAGGGCACAGAGTGATCAGAGCTCACACCGAGTAAGTGTGCTGCTGGGCCCAGCACGGGTCTAATGCTCTCCTCTCGCTGGGAGAGGCAGGATAACACAGGTTAGACCTGGTCTCTACATCGGCCATCCTCCCCGTGCCTCAGTTTCCTCACAATGAGAATCCCTACCTCCAACGGTTCCTGTAAGGACTAAGTTAATGTTCACCAGGTGCCTAGATCAGGGCTGGCCTACAGCAAATACTCAGTAACTATCACCTCATTTAATCTTCAATCGCTCCGTCCTTAGGATAGCCGTAGGTGGTCACTGGTCCTGTTGGTTTACAAACCAGGAAACTGAGGCACACAGAGGTTAAGGAGCTCCCTCCCTGCACTCACAGGGTTTACAGTCCGGCAGGGCAGACAGTGTGGTGAGCATAGCGGATGGATGAGAAATGGACAGAGAGGGCCAGGGCATCCATAGCTCTACCTCGGGCTGCCTTGTCCCCCTGGAGCCCTCTGTAGTGGAAGGAAGACGTGGGTAGAGCCCCTGTCTTTTAGGGAACTTGAACTTGAGACATCCAGAGAGTCCCAATAGCTCCTAACACACAAATGGTGGGTCAAGGCCGCCCACTGCTGAGGGACATAGTCTCCAGGTCACCCAGACCTGCCAACCCTTCTCCCGGATGTCAAGGGTCGTTTCCGACTCTCCTCACAGCCTCTTCAGACCGTCTGCCATGAAGAAGATAGTGACACCATGTGTGTTGCCAGGAACCACTTGGATATTCAAGGACAAAGTGGTGATGGGAACAGCACAGCCTCCCCGCTCGCCAGCTGCCCCCCGGCAATCGAACAGGAAGCTAGCCGCGGGCACAGGCCACGCAGCACGGACAGAGCCGCACACAGGACACGTCGCACCATGGGTCACCTCGAATGGGTCCTGCTTTCCCTGCTGCACAGCCCACCCCAACATCAGCTCACTTATGCTCCCAGGCTCCAGAAACCCAACAAACTCGAGCCACCATTCTTCAGGGAACCCTGTCTCTCCTGGTTGGCTTTTGTCTTTTGTGGGATTTTCTTTTTTTAATTTATTCCTTTTCCTTGTTTTGTTTTCCATCTCTTCACCTGGAGCACAAGTCCAGGCCCGTATGCCTCTGCCATACCAGAAAACGAAGAGCGCCCTCGGGAAAAAGTTAGCAGATGGATGAGGCTACAATTATTATTTGAAGCTTTTAAGCTCCATTAACACTCATTTTCTTGAAGTATCTGAAAGCACTTAATTCCTCAGAATTTCCAAGCAGATTCGAAGTCTCTCTCAATCTCTCCTCTCCTTTTTGCTCTGCCTCCCCGCTCTCTCCCTCCATCTCTCTGTCTCCTTTTCTCTTTCTCTTCTTAACGTACCGGATAGCCTGCACTCCGGACACAGACGCTGTCACCCTGACTACAAAGAAAGGCACGCAGACAGAGCCGACGGGAGTCCTGGGCCAGACGCTGACGGAACACAGACAGCCTTTCCCAGCTGCTGGGCCTTCTGGGAAGCCACGTGCCTGGCTCATTTCTCAGAGCCAAGCATGTCTTTCTGGTCAATAAACTCTGCTGAGTGCATGCAGAGCCAGCCCCGCCCTAGTCTGCTGAAACCACGGACTTCTGGAATAGAACAGAGTGCTGTCCAACACCCCATTTTAGAGACGAGGAAACTGAGGCCTGGGAAGGGCCGAGGCCTGTCTGGATCAACTAGAACTGGAGCCCAGGTCTCAAGTGCTTCTTCTGCTTCCCTCTGGTTAGAGGAGCTCCCTCAGCAGTTGAGGGTGTCATACCCCCCTCCCTCACCCCCAGCAGAGATGCCGATGGGAAGGGGGCACGGACAGGGACTCTACCTCACCCTGTGCCTCCCTCAGCCTCTCTCTCCCGCTGGAAACTCCCAGGACACTTTATCCCCCCTTCTCAGAGGACGTGGTACTTTCTTTCCTAAATTCCCCCTTCTCATCGATGGGTGGTGGCAGTGAGGACAAAGACACTAGGACCAGGAGACCCAGTTCCAATCACCTGCTGTGTGATTTGCACAAATGACAGCACCCTCCTGGGCTTCAGTGCTCTTACCCGCAAAATGCAGAGAATAACAGCGCCTACCTCGTGGGACCCCGTGGGGATTCATGAGTGAATACACGCACGGCCCTCAGAACAGCGCGGTCACATTGCATGCACTTAGCACGAGCGAGGAGCAGGTGGTCTAGGCCAGGACGCCCGTCTGCTTCATTGTTGAGGCCCAGCATTTGACTATGAGGGACAGTGTCCAGCTGGCTAGTCACTGTATCTCCAGCAGAGATGCGGAGGAAGCCAGATAAAAAAGGGTCAACTGAATGAACCTGGCACAGGGCACTGCCACAGCAGGTGCCTCGTCGGTGCCCGCCAAGGAATCTGTACATTTCCAGAGCTAGTGGGTTCTCAGGGAGGGTCACGTGCCGAGTTTACTCCTGGATAATTTCCGATGTGCAGGCCCCAGTCGTTTTACTGCTCTAAGTTTAACAAGTTTGCCCAGAGCCCAGCTCTCAACTTCCAGAGCACCGTCCTGGCACGGAACCCCCTCCTGCTCTGGGACAGTGGCTCACACAGTGCCTTCTGGGGCTGCTATGTCCTTGTTGGCTGCCATTTTCCTGGGGTTGTCAGGTTTTGAAAACACCCTGCTTGGTACTCATCTCTGAGGGGCCGGAGAATGCAGACACCTTAATGAAGACAGACGGCCGCGCCTGGAACCAGACCCGGTCTGGAGCTCTGTAAGTGGATGTAAGTGCTTCTGCGGAGGAAAGGGCTACACGGCCACAGGTCCGGAAGCCCGGGGACATCCGGAGATGGCACTAAGGACCGACACAGAGGGTGTCTGGGGTTTCTCAAGTGAAAGGCACTCCGCAAGAACAACATACATTAGTCACCTCAGAGGCCGGCGGTGAACTTGGCCTTGGGTACATAAACACTCTGCTGATTGCTGGCCGAGACACTGAGCCCGAAACTGATTCCCCCCACTTGAGTGTGTGTCCGCACTCAGCAACGGTCTGGGACACAGAGGACCCCGCAGCTTGGCTGGAGGGTACCTGCGACGTGTCGGGGCGGCTCCAAGGGGCACTGAGAGGTTGGGAAGATGCCAAGTTCTCCCGAGGTGGCACACCCTGGGCCTGGACCGCCCCGTGGGGTGCTGTGGTAGGAGCAGGCCGCCCAGCCAGCCGAGACACACCTGACCTGCCGCTGCCTCTCACTCTGTGACCTCACGACAACTTCCCAGGAGCGAGGGGGAACGGGGCGTGTAGGCCCCTCCACACCAGCGGGCACGCACTGTGGGTTCTCGGCCCCTCGCCATTCGGAGGCTTTTTCTGTGCCCTGAAAGCCCCAAATAAAGAATGTTTCCCTCTAAACCCTGTACCTTTCAAGTGTATGCAAGTTCCCCGGTGAGCACTGGGGTGTAAGGAAGAGGGTGATGAGCAAGGAACTTTTTAAAAGGTGGTGAGTGTGCGTGGAAAAGTCCCCTGCACCTCTGATGGGATGGTGTTTAAACGCTGTTGTGCCCATCTGAGGCCCGTCCCGGGAACTGCCAACCCCGGTTTCTGTCTTCCCAAATACCCCACACACCTTTCTGGAGGAAGGTATGTTTATTTCAGATGACATTTATCTGAAAATAAACATCATAATCCACTTTCATAACATCAGTTGATGCCAGTATCAGGTTCCCCCACCCTACCCCACCCAGCGGCTATTAGCTCACCCCGTGTAAGCAACGGCTGAGGTTAAAAGTTGCAAATCTGGGTGGATTCATAAGCAGGAAGTTCTTCGGAAGTGGGGCCCTGTGTCCATAAACACAGCTCTACAAAGAGCATCCACAAGCACGCCTGCCAGTCAGTGACAGGAGCGGAGCATAGAGGCTGGGGGACTCCCTGAGCACGGGTTCAGTGCCGAGCAAATGGGGGCCTGTTTCAAATCCTGGGTGCAGCACTTGCTGTCCAGTGACTTGGGCTAGTTAGTTAGCCTCATTGTGCCTCAGTTGTCCCATCTGTAAAATGGGGGAAATGATAGCTACTGCACAGGATTGTTGGAAAGATTAAATGAGCAAAAAAAAAAAAAAGCCCCAAAACTAAAGCCTTTGGAGCAATGCTGTACACCAGGGGTCCTCAAACTTTTTAAACAGGGGGCCAGTTCACTGTCCCTCAGACCGTTGGAGCCGGACTATA